ACATACACATAAAATAAAAATAACAAATAAAATGTTTTAAAAAATACTTTAAAATCATAGTACACAAAAAAAGGAAATGGAACTTGACAGCCCAACTGGGACCCAGCCAAACAGTCAACCCAAGATTAACAGAGAATTCAACACCAACTTAGATGACTCCTAGGATATAAGTACATGGTAACATAAATTTCCCAGAAGAGTTGAGATACAAACCTTATTGTTAACAATGGCTTCAGAGTCATCAAAGACAAAATCTCCATCATAGCTCCTTGCAAAACACACGAGGGAAACAAATCCCACTACTAACTTAGCCCAGAAAGAGGGAAGGACAGATGATGGAATGATGTGATCCAAGTCAGCATCCAGCTCTGCCATCTTGAAAACTGCAGACTGCCAGCCTCCTGTTCCAGCATTATGCTAGTTAGAAATCTGCAAGAAAAACAACATCCTGGAAATACTTAGGGCTCTGAGTTAGACATGCCTCTGCAGTAGACATCTTAAGCAAGAGTGAGACAGTTCTGTATGCTGTGATTTTACAGGATATCATCATTAGACATACCAAGTTGTGGTTTTCAAACTTTAGTGGGAAGAGAAGTGACCTGGGAATCTGGCAGACTTCTACTCCCTACTATGGCCTATAGAACAGAAGCCCTTGAGTTTCTAATGCTGCTTTCCAGAAATACTGACTTAATGGAACCCTGTATTTACTAACCCTACAACGTAAGTCATTTCTAAAAGTCTGAGTCAGTTTACAAAGCTTTTTAAAAAAGTAATGATTGTGACACACACCTTTAGTCCCAGCACCCGGGAGGCAGAGGCATGCGGATCTCTCTTGAGTTCAAGTTCAGCCTGGTCTACAAAGTGAGTTCTGGGCCAGCTGGGGTTACAAGGAGACCCTGTCTCAAAAACACTAAAAACACCAAAAAAAAAAAAAAAAAAAAAAAAAAGCCCAATAGGGGCCAGAAGGCATAGTAAGTATAGTGTATGAAACTTGACCCTGACTCTGACTCTAACTGACCTTAAAGTCTATGTGTAAAACTCAAACACATATGCCAGTTGAATGAAAATCTAAGAAAGGGAACTCAAAAAGCCAGGGCACATGGAAATGACTGATTGCTGAGTTGGGGGTTTACAAAGAGATAGAGGAACTGACTTCTTTGGAACAACACCTGTCTCAAAGAGGGGAGGCAATTTTGCATGAAGATGACCTTCAATACTGGTAAGAGTCAAGTTAAAAATATGTACTTATCTGAACTTTCAAAGAGGCAAAGTGGTCTTGCCCAAGCCTTGCCATTTATGAGTTGTGTGTCTCTGCTCCCTCTATTTCCTGTGGAACACTGTAAAAACATAAGGACTTTCAAGCTGTGTTTTACGATTTGGGCCAATTCAAGGCTCAAATAAACTATTTACAAATCAGGTATTTGTCCCCATTCCCCTCACACTCTCCACAGGTGCTTTCTTTAGATATTCCAGGATCTGTCCTGGTCAGGCTGCTGGGTTCCAATCTTTGGTAAGTTTGGAGAGTTACTTAAGCTCTCTGAGGCTGTTTCCTTACTTCTAAAATGGTGATGAGGAATGTCTACCAAGAGTATGTTCCTTACACAGTTGTCCTGAGAGTTTTAATGGATGCATGGGGGAAGTTAGCTTATTGATATACTTTCTATGAGGCTGGAAAAATCCCCTTTCCACTGGCTTTTCAGTATAAAAGCTCTGGGCCTGCCTACTCAGAAAGCAGCCTCCACTCTTTATACCTAGATGGAAGAGAATTCCTCAGTCCCCTTGAGTGGGAGGCAGCTAGGATACTGGTCTAGTTAGCTTCTCTATTGATGTGCTAAAACACTGACCAAAAATAACTTGGGCAAGGAAGGGATTTATTTCATCTTACACTTCCAAGTGACAGTCCATCTTTGAGGGAAGTCAGGCAGGAACTGAAGCACAGACCAAAGAGGAATACTATTTACTGGCTTGTTCCTCTGGCTTGTGCTCAGCCTGCTCTTATACAAACCCAGGACCACCTGTCCAGGGGTGGCACAACTCACAGTGGGCTGGGCCCTCTACATCACTCAATAAGTGAGAAAATACCTCATAGATATGTCTATAGGCCAGTTCAATAGAGGAAATTCCCCAATTGATGTTCCCTCTTCCCAGATATGTAAAGTTGACACCTAAGCCAACCATGACATATATATCTGGCTCTAAATGTCCAAGATATTATTTCAGATCAGCAAGAAGTAGTCAAATAGGATTCTGAGACCACAGGTATCTTTTCTATAGCCCCTATCTGAATAAAGGTGGAGACAGATCGACAGGCAACAGGCCACACCTTTCTATGGCAACGCTGGTCCTTTTCAGAGACAGAGAGCCCCATTTACAAAATCCAAACACAGAACACTGCAATTCTTTCACTGCTGATCCCTGGAGCCTCTTTGCTTGATGTAAGGTTTGCTTTTATCAAGTGCTTGGGGAATACTCCACCTACTTTCTGCAGCTTTCTGTTCTCTCCACTGAAAGGATAAATCATTGTTCAAATCCAAATTACAATTATAAACCCTATTCTGGTCATCATGAAGATCCTGCTTGCTGTTTTACATTCCAGGTTAAAAAAAATGGCTTCCTGTTACTTAAAAATAAAAACAAAATAAAAAGATGGAATAGTTAGGACAACGTCATGCCTTAACATGGAAGGAATAAAGGTATTCTTTGGTTTAGAAAATCAATGTGCAGGAAAACAAATGTTTTATGCCAATTTTAAATGCACAACAGACTACATAGGAGATACAAAAGGTCATACAGTTGGTTTTGATGTTCTCTGGTTGAGACCTAAACATTTTAGTATGATGTCACAAAGTGTGTTAAAGTTCAAAAGGCTTTAACATTGATGAAATAACCTGTCCTCCTAAATTTGCTACTGTGTCTCTTTGCAGACTATTCATTGCCCAGGCTCATCTTAGTACTCAAGCATGACCTGCATATGCATAAGGTAGACTGGGGACTTCAACATCTGGGGTGGCCTGGAGGGCCAGGCCCCTACCCTTGGGAGGTCAACTGGATGGCTAAGTTGACCATTTTGATCTCTCCTCTTCCCATGTGGGAACTGAAAGCACAGACCTACAAAGCAGCATTCTGTCCTCCACCCTATTTCTTAGCCCTCCCTGGCTCTTGCCCTTCTCCTTGTGGAAATATTACTGCCTTTCTCTTCTTAGTTCAATGCCTCTGTGGCTTTGCTTACAGTGAAAATACTCAAAGTGCCTTTCAATGTATAGAAGTCCAGAATGTGCCTTTCATCAGCAAATTCCAAAAGAGCTACAATGTGTTAGAAACACATGTGAAGTTCTCAGAGTAGTTTTCAACAGTCCAGAGTAAAGGCTGTGGAGACAGATGATGAGGATTTGCCAGATCCATGACCCTAAGCTACATCGCTTTCCTAAGGATCAGTTTCTTCATCAGTGCAATGAGGTACCACTGCTTTCTTCAGGAGGTCATGGGGTAGGGCTTAATCAGAGTGAGGGAAGAGAAGCAGTTAAGCTTCTATTAATTGCTAGTTTGAACAAACTAGTTCCTGGTGCCTAGTCCCAAACTTGTGTCTTGAGAATGAATGCTTACTGTGCCATCACAACTACCAACATACTGTCCAGCTGACTGGGTACCTGAGAAAAAGGCACTTTTCTTTCAGGCAGATTTATAGCACATGGCTACCCTGACAAGGCATCTCTGTGACCCACACAGACTCCACAACCACATATTGACCCTGATCCCAGCTTTCCTTCTTCCAACAGGAAATGACCCTGTTCCACAATGAGGCTTGGTGCTTGGGGTAAATGAAGCCACGTCTTCATGAGGTGACAGAAAAGGGGATGTTTTTTACCCATGTCATAAGCTAGGAAAGCACATTTTCTGGTGTTTGCTTGATGGGTTTATAAGCAACATGCCTTAATGATCTTCTGAAGGTTGATGCCCTGGAAACCCAGGTCCTCAGTCAGTTTGAAAGGTAAGCTCTCCTTATGGATGGGCCAAGCAAGAGGCTCACTGTGGTTCTAGTTCCAACAGAGATCCATCTATTAGTTGCAGTAACAAAGCTGGTGTTCTGATGGCTTATTAAGGCCAGCCTCTTAATTAACTAGCCTTCAACAGTGGTTAAAGGGGGAACAAATCAATAGTCTCTTTATCCCTGATTCTCAAACTTCTAATATTAAGCCTCTATTTTTAGAGGGTTAAAACAAATTCGTCGATCAAAGGGTCAAAAAAGACCTCAAACAGGGATTCCCAAAAGGCTAAACAGCACTGAACTGGGAAACATGAAGCCCCACTGACAATGGACAGAGCAGCCCAGACTATAATAAAGCAAAGGATTAGATCCAACCTGGATGATTCACCCTGGAAAACCAGCAGCAGCCACCTAAATGAAGATTGGTTCACATGCTGTGGTAAGGATGCTGGCCTCTGTACATCAGGACAATCCATCCAGGGCCAGCTGGACCATGACCCTGCCTCTGGAAATCTGATTAAAACTACACGATGGTTTCTGACCAACACACAGGGACTTGGCAGTAAGTAGCACGAAGCAGAGAGATCTTCTTCCTAGAGTTCCCAAGACTAGGGACCCCTTGCAGTACTGAGCCAAATGGCTATGAAGGAGTGTTCTGTTGTGGCCTGTCTTTCTAATTCTGGGATTCCCCAGTGGCTGCAGGATGTCTGAGCAAGGTTTCACACAGTTCCTGTCTCAGAAAGTTTCCACGTTGCTAGCTGGTAGCCATTTTTCTCCTGGGTTGGCCAGCCCCTGTCACTTTACCCCACCTCTGCCAGGGATGCGCAGCTTGACAGGACTGCAGGGAGAGGGGACAATGAGGTGATCCAGTCAACCTTACAGAAATTCTTTCTCAAGGGATTCTTCCCACCCATCTGCTCCCAGGGAAAGCTAAATGTGGATGACTCAGTGGCTGGATGATTCCTCCAACTCCTCCCTCCTTTTGTGTGTGGTTAAAAAAAGAAAGAAAACACACAACAGCCCACAGTCACAACATCAACAAGCCCAGACGCCCCGTGGAGCCCGCAGGAGGTGAAGCGGTCGCTGCACCACCTGGTCGGCTTCCCCAACTCCTGGCCCACACCGGGAAGTGGCAGCTCGATGGCTGCAGACGCCCGAGCCGGTAGTACCGGCTCTAGCTCAACCGCGGAGCGCGGAGTAGCTGGCACTCCGGGAGCTGCGGGGTGGCTTGTCTCCGTAACCCAGGGCAGGCAGCCAAGCTCGCCCGGCTGCGTCCAGCCGTCGCTTGTGCCTTGGCCAGCTGGCGGCCAGGCGCGGGTGGCCCCGCAGCCAGGTGGTCGCTACGCCGGGTGCACTCAGGGGCACGAAGCCTGCGCATGCTGGGGCAGGCAGGACTGGCGCGGCGACCTCAGCCGTGGCGGGGCAGCACAGCAGCCCGAGCCCGGGGCGCGCACCCTGCACCGCGCTCTCTTTGTCCCGGGTACAGCTTCCACCGCGTCGCCGGGTGCCAGCTTAGGTCCCGGAGCTAACTCCTGCAGCGGCGGAGCCAGGGGCAGGGCTTGGGCACCGCCCCCGGGCCCCGGGCCGCTCCACAGGGCTCAGCTGTAAGCCGGGGAGCCAGCGCCCGCTTCGCGCCCAACTCCGCACGCCCCACGGTGCGCTCGGCCCTCCGCGGGGCCGCCCCGCGCGTTACCTGCAAGGAGCCCGCCAGCTTAGGTCCCGGAGCTAACTCCTGCAGCGGCGGAGCCAGGGGCAGGGCTTGGGCACCGCCCCCGGGCCCCGGGCCGCTCCACAGGGCTCAGCTGTAAGCCGGGGAGCCAGCGCCCGCTTCGCGCCCAACTCCGCACGCCCCACGGTGCGCTCGGCCCTCCGCGGGGCCGCCCCGCGCGTTACCTGCAAGGAGCCCGAGCCGCG